CAAGGGGAGTGACGTGATAAAAGGCTAGCCACTTGAGATTTGACATAGATTTTAGATACATGTACACTGCGCTCTTGTAAGTTAGATTTTAATTGGAAATTTTATGGTATCAAAACTGATTTTGTTGAGTAAGTTCCGAGCCTTGTGCACTTGTGGGACTCGTCTCACGAGTGTACGGCGTCTGTCGCACCTCGGATTTGGGTTCTGGGGCGTGACAGATTTAGTGGTATCAAAGTTTAGGTTAAATTAGATATCTGGAGGGCAATCCATATTTTACTTACTGAGTTATCTCACCTCGTTTTTTTTTCGTCCACCATTTCAGGTAGTGTGCCCCGAGACTCGGAAATCAAGGGGAGTGACGTGATAAAAGGCTAGCCACTTGAGATTTGACATAGATTTTAGATACATGTACACTGCGCTCTTGTAAGTTAGATTTTAATTAGAAATTTTATGGTATCAAAACTGATTTTGTTGAGTAAGTTCCGAGCCTTGTGCATTTATGGGACCCGTCTCACGAGTGCACGGCGTCTGTCGCGCCTCGGATTTGGGTTCTGGGGCGTGACAGATTTAAAGAAAACTCCAACAAAAACGCAGGAGCAGTTAGAGCCCAGCAGGGCCATGGAGAGTGACGATGGGCAAATTGAGGAACAAAGGGGAAGAAGGGAGAAAGAAAGTAGAAATGGGAGGAGAAGGAGAGCGAAATCGTGTGCTGAAGTATATGACAGATCTACCCCAATCGGAGACTACTCAACCACATTGAAAGGGAGAGGAACCAAGCAAATGAGGAAGAAACACAAGGAACAGTGGGTCTGTTTTGAGCCAAACCTAGAAAAGGACGTTGCAAATGACTCTATTGAGGATAGCGGGATCAGAAACTACAATAGAAAAGGAGGACATAAGGAGGACTTTAGGGGCGCAAAAGAAATGTGGCTATTGGCGAAGGAATTAGGGGTCAAGATAAAGGGAGATGAGGAAGATCTAGTGCGGAGGATTGCAAGATTAGAAGAAATGGATAAAGCGAGGAGGAAAAAGATCCCAAAATAGAAGGCTTTATCAGGTAAGCAAGTGGACCCTATTCCTCCATGATTATACTTACTTTTAATATTAGAGGATTGGGGGGTTTAGGGAAAAGAAGGGAGATTAGGAAATTGGTTCAAAAGGAGAAGGTAGAATTTCTAGCAATTCAAGAAACAAAGACATAATGTGTAGATGGTAAATTGTGTCGGGCTATTTGGGGCTTGGATGACTTCGATTGGGTGGCTACACCTTCATGTGGGTTAGCAGGGGGATTATTGTGCATATGGAGACCTGCAATTTTTTAAAAAACTTCATCTTTTGAAGGATCACATTATCTTGGTGTTCATGGTTTATGGGGAAAAAATAAAATACCAATCTCAATCATAAATGTCTATGGGCCTTGTAATTTAGCAGCTAAAAGGGTCTTATGGGGAGAGTTAAGGGATTTGATTACCAATGCAAGGGACAAATGGTGCGTAGTTAGGGACTTCAATGCTATAAAATCAGCACAAGAAAGAACGGGTGGAAGGAGTTCAAATAGTGAAATGAGGAACTTCGAGGCTTTTATCGAGGAAACTGGTTTGGTGGATATACCAATGTATGGTAGACAATATACATGTTATCACTCAAGTAGCACATCTATGAGTCGGCTGGATCGGTTTCTCCTTTCAGAAAAGTAGTTACAGGAATGGGAACAATTGAAGTAATGGGGATTGACAAGATTTGTTTCTGATCATTGTCTGGTTGTCTTAAAGACTCTTGAAAGGGATTGGGGCCTAAAACCTTTTAAGTTTTTTGACGCATGGCGGCAGATTCCCGGCTTTACAGAACTATTAATTGAGTAGTGGAAGTCCTTTGAAGTGACAGGATGGAAAGGATTCTACTTAAAGGAGAAACTGAAGAAGCTCAAAGGATTCTTAAAAGGATAGAGTAAAGAGCAGATGGGGGACTTAGAATCTAAGATAAAGGAAGCAAAAAAAAAGGTGGCGGAACTAAATATAAGGGCCGAATCCCATTCACTATCTACGGATGAAGATAAAATGAGAAAAGCTTGCCAGGAGGAATTATGGAAGAATCTAAGGCTACAAGAGATGATGTGGAGACAAAAAGCAAGGAAACAGTGGGTAACGGAGAGCGATGCCAACACTAAATTCTTCCACAGATGCGTTAAAGGGAGAAAAAGGAGAAATGAAATTAATAGTATACAAATCAAAGGGAGACGTTTCGAAGATGTAAATGGAATAAAAAATGCAATAGTGGAGTTTTACGAGGAGCTGTTCTCTGAAGAAGATTGGGTTCGACCCACCTTAAACCGAGTGAACTTTAGAAGAATTTCACAAACTCAATGTGAGGCTTTCACAGCTCCATTTACAAAAGACGAAATAAGAGCTGCTATTTGGGATTGTGAAAGTTCTAAAGCATCAGGACCAAACGGCCTTAACTTTGGTTTCTGGAAGAGAATGTGGGAGACTTTGAAAAAGGATGTAATGGGGTATTTCTCAGAATTCCACAATGCAGGGAGAATTGTGAAAGGAGCTAACGCCTAGTTTTTGGCTTTGATTCCTAAAGTCGACAACCCACAAAAGATTGAAGAGTACAGACCCATTTCGTTAATAAACTCGATGTACAAGATGCTTTCTAAAGTTCTAGCAAACAGGTTAAAGACAGTGATAGATGATTTAATTGGTGAACAGTAGTCAGCGTTTGTGGGAGGTAGACAACTAGTTGATTGCATGATGGTGGCAAATGAAGTGTTGGATGAGGCAAGAAGTAAAAAGATAAAAGGCTTTTGCATTAAAGTGGACTTTGAGAAAGCGTATGATAGAGTCAGTTGGGCCTTTCTGGACTACATGCTAAAGAGAATGGGGTTTAACCATGTGTGGTGTTAGTGGATGAAAGAGTGCATGCATTTAGCGAGTATATCAGTATTGGTGAACGGAGGCACGACAAAGCAATTTTCACCCTCAAGAGGACTGAGGCAAGGAGATCCCCTATCCCCATTTTTATTCTTGCTAATTGCCGAAGGCCTTAGTGGCCTCATTTCATCAGCTAAGGAGAAGGGGTTGCTGAAAGGATTGAAGATTAGAAATGGAGGAATTGAAATCACTCACCTCCAATTTGTCGATGATATGATCATGTTTGGGAGGGCAGAGGATAGTAATGTATGGGTAGTAAAGTGCATAATGAGAGTGTTTGAACTTGTTTCTGGTTGAAAATAAATTTTGACAAAAGCCTACTGTATGGATTGAATATGGAAGATGAATGGGTGGAGAAAACAGCTTGGTGTCTTAACTGTAGAAGAGGTCCTTTACCATTTAAATACCTCGAGATCTCGATTGGGGGTAATCACTAAAGACTCGCATTTTGGAGGCCATTGATTCAAGGTTTTAAGAACAGATTGGCATCTTGGAAAGGCAAACTATTATCCCTTGGTGGAAGAATCTCTCTTGTTAAATCTGTGCTGTCCAGCCTACCGGTGTTCTTTGTGTCTTTTTTTTTTTTTGGTTCCAAAAGGAGTGATTAATGAACTTGAAAAAATACGAAGGGATTTTCTTTGGGGAAAGAAGGAGGGAGGGGGAGGAATTAGTTGGGTTAAGTGGGATAGTGTGTGCAAACCTAAGGAAGAGGGTGGATTAGGAGTTAGGGACCTTAGAACTTTCAATATAGCTCTATCAGGAAAGTGGTGGGGTTGGATGGCAGGAAAGGAAAGGGGCCTATGGAAAAGAGTGCTGAATACAAAATACGAGGTTGAAGAAGGAAGGTGGCTGGAATGGGTGAGGGGTGAGATTAAGGGGGGCTTATACTGGTGGAGGGACTTATGTAGAATAAATTCTATTTTACCAAATAGAGAGAATTGGTTAGGAGAGGGCTTCGACATTAATTTAGGGGATGGAGGGGGTATTAGATTTTGGAAAGACGTATGGCTAGGAGAGGTGAACTTAGCTACCCGTTTCCCCAGATTTTTTCTCTTGTCTACAGGAAAAGATAACAAAATCCAGCAGATGAGAGAATGGCATAACAACATGTGGCAATGGAAATTGACGTGGAGACGAAGTATGCGCGGGTGGGAAGATGAAAAGTTGCAAGAGCTCTCTAACTTGATACTTAATGTCACATTAGTCAAGGAGCAACAGGATGCATGGTGTTGGAGGCATACCAAGGAGGGAATTTACACAGCAAATTTGGGATACTTGTTGCTAAGAGACCAACAAGGAGGGGATGATACAAAATTATTGAGAAAAGTGTGGAACAAATATATTCCAAACAAGGTATCTGCTTTTAATTGGATGATACTACTGAACAAAATACCAACTAAAACAAACTTGCGGACAAAGGGCATTTTAAAGGATGATACAACAACCTTGTGTGGCTTCTACGGGGAGGCACTGTAAGATACCAACCACTTGTTCTTGGAATGCCCGTTTGTAGTAAAATTGTGGTGGAAATGTCAAGAATGGTGGGGACTGAGCTGCGTGAGTTATAATGAGTGCAGGAAGGCTTTTGTTCAGCATGTCTTCTATTCAAAAAACAAATGGGTTAGGCAAGGTTGGGAAACCATTTGGTTTGGCCTCACATGGACCATATAATTAGCAAGAAATGAATAGATTTTCAGAAAAGCAAAAAGCATTATCGAAAGGTTGTTCGACCTTGTCCAGATTCGAACATTCTTTTGGATTAGTGGAAGGGTGGCTGGATCACTGTTTTCTAGTGCGGATTGGATACAAAGCCCAGTGTTGTGCTTGAAGTCAATCCAAGGTGGGTTGAAGAGGAAGTGAAGAGCTCACAGTGTGGGGGCCAATTTCCCAAAATCTAGAACGGAAGGGTTGAGCATCCAGAACCCCGACACGGACGTGGTGTTGCAACATAATTTTGGTGTCGACACCGAATGGAAGAGCTGAGCATCCAGAACCCCAACACGGACGTGGTGTTGACACATAATTTTGGTGTCGACACCAAACGGAGGGGCTGAGCATACAAAACCCCGACACATAATTTTGGTGTCGACACCAAGTAGAAGGGACATTCAACTATGTAAATCTATGCCTTTCAAGTTGGGATGTTTATGGGTTTGGGTACCCTTTATATTCCTTTTTTCAATAAATATTACTTTTTCTGTTAAAAAAAAGATCATATTCTTTCATAAAGGAAAGAAAGTACATGAAACAAACACAAGATCATCGCAGAATAGACAAAGAAACTATTAAAATATTATGGGGATGGAATTCCATGAGGGAGAGTGTTTTGCTGTGGAAAAAATTTGTTTTGGAAAAATATTATGGGAGCTAGAAGGCTGGAATGTGCACAGAAGGTTAAAGCTAAAAGAGTGTCTAGATTATGGAGTGATATAGTGAGACTTGGCAAGGTGAGCGAAGAGAGACTAAGTGTGTAGTCACTGAGGATTTTGTTTGGAAAGTTAAAAAGGGAGACAAAATAAAATTTTTGTAAGATATTTGGATTGAAAATGGAACTCTTAAAATTGTGTTCTCTAGGCTGTTTCTGTTAAGTTTGCGTAGGAACCTATCGGTGGCTGGAATGAAGACTCATGGTCATGGTGCATACAAAGGGGAAGACTACCCCATGAAAGAGAATTGGATGAGCAACAATTAGTGGAAAAGATGCTGTGTGATGTTCATTTGGGTGAAAACAATGAGGATAGAATAGTTTGGCGGTTTAGTAATTCTCTGGGGGATACTGCGAAGGAAGCATTTAAGCTCTTGCAGCATCAAAATGGCTGTTTGGGCAAGAAGCCTTGCAAGGCAATCTGAGACCGTCACATCCCTTCAAAAGTGTCTTGGCTTTAATAAAATCCAAACAAAAGACAACTAGTAGAAAGAGGTTTTGTTAATTATGGATGTCAATCTGTTTTGCCCTTCATGTGGTCATGAGGAGGAATCTGCATCTCATTTGTTGTTGCAATGTGCTTGCTCGTATAAATTATGGATGAAATGTTGCAAGTGGTGGGGTGTGCTCTCTTTGCATACTCTGGTTCTGTGCAGGACTTGTGCATGCAATTTGTCAATGGGTTGTTCGGCAAGAACAATGTTGCAGCGGGGGATCTTAATTTAGGATTTTACTTGATGTTTTGGGCTATTTCGACAGGCAAGAATGGTCTTATATTCAGAGATGACCAGTGGGATACAGGCAGAGTATTTGACTTGATTCAAGCCAAATCGTTCTAGTGGCTAAAAGGAAAAGAACAGGACTTGGTTTTTTCATTTAGGGATTGGATCCAGTTTTCATAGCTTTACATTGACAGGAATGGTTGTTAACAGTTTTTAGTTTGGATACTAGATTGTAAATATTAAAATGATGTAATGGAATATAATTTGTACTCTATTCAATAAAAATAATTATTATTTTTTATTTTAAATTTATTTTAAATTAAATGTTATTTTTTTCATTTTTTCAAGTAAATAAACAATTTTTTTCTTTAAATCTATTGTTATCTATTTACTTTACTTTATTTATTTATTATATCATAAAAACTTTACTTTATCTTTAATTTCTTTAAAGATAATATAACTAAACATAAA